ATGTAGTTGTCGGTCTTCTCCAGGCCAAAGATCCTCGGTGGGAAGAAGGGCTTGTCTTCATTTAAGGTCATCTCATAAACACTGTTCCAGGGAAAGAATCCAAACTGGAAAACGTATTTGACCACCACCATCACCTGAAACAGAGCAGAGCAGCACACCGGTCACTGGAGTGTTAGTAAATCTTTGGTTTTAAATGGACAAATGAACACACGGCGCATTGTCTCAAGTAGGCTGACCAAACCTCCTCTTTGGCCTGGATATGTCCACTTTTTACATCCTTATAAATTCATGATGATGTTTTCACTGTTTAATATTACGGTTTCACAATATTCTGAGTTCAGCCAGTGCTGCCTTTGTTTACTTCTGAAGCTTTGTAGGCATGAATAGCTCAATATCTACAACACACTGAAAAGGTCAGAGGCAAATGGTGTGCAGAGGATATCAACTCCTGAATTCAATTCAATTCAATTTTATTTATACAGCTCCACATCACAACAACAGTTGTCTCACAGCTTTCCAAACAGAGCAGGTCAGACCCTACTCTGAAGTTAATTACAGAAACCCAACAATTCCCACCATGAGCAAGCACTAGGCGACACAGGTAAGGAAAAACTTCCTTTAACAGGCAGAAACCTGGAGCAGAACCATGGCTCAGGGTGGGGGGGCATCTGCCTCGGCCGGTTGAATGATTGTGAAGACATAGCAATACTTTAACACTTATGTTCTGTGTACAGCAGTGCTAGCAGCTACTGGTTGACTCTCCATCTGGACCTGTGGTGGTGTCCACTAAAGCAGTGTTTTTCAACCACTGGTCCTCGGTACACTAGTGTGATGTGAGTGATGGTCAGGTGTGCCGTAGAAAATCATCCCATTTCACCTCATTGGTCTAAAAAGATTTTTTGATAAGGAATTAATTATCTGCAAATAATATTCCATTTCTGAGTGTGTGTGCTGTTCTAGTGACTGGTGGAGTAATCATGTAATAATTCCTTATGACTAGATTTTGTATTTGATTTTGCCTATTGAAGTGGACATGTTTAGAGCAATTTGAAAGAAGAAACATAAAATATAATGAAAATGAATGTTTGTGTTTGTTTGATTCCTATTCAAGACACTTAAGATAAGATAAGAATAACTATAGTGTTACTATAAGCGGCTACAGATTTGTTTGACATTCTTGGTTGGTGGTGTGCCTCGTGATTTTTTCAATTAAAAAATGTACCTTGGCTCAAAAAAGGTTGAAAAACACTGCACTAAAGTCATGAAGCCCTTCAGGACGCGTCCTGGGCCCAGTGCTCATACCTCTGTGTACACGATGGCAGTCATCCAGAACCTCTTGGTGGGCCTCGGAACAGCCAGCATGGCCCATAGGAACACCAGCATGGGCAGGACCAGCGAAATGACCGAGGCACTGACCACGTTGTTGAGCACGATGATGAGGTAGCAGACCAGCTCGGAGTTGGCCGACAGCAGCGTGAACATGGACAGCAGCAGCCTCAGCAGCCGGTTCTGGTTGTTGAAGAAGTCCCGGCTGTGCTCCAGCTCCTCGATACAGAACTGCCTACAGAGCACAGGACGCAGTCACAATCCCGAACCCAACTTCCTCTGAACGGGCGGAAACTCGCTATACACACACACACACATTCTTGTAAGTACCTCAGACTGAGGACCAAGGAAAAGGACTCACAAACTGAGGACCAGTAGTTTTCAAATGTTCTCACTCGGTGTCACACACACACACACACACACACACACACACACACACACACACA